GGAGCCAGACTACCACCGAAGAGTGCTGCACCAAATCAACCCATTTCGCGTCGCCCCGCTCCATGGTTTCCGCAAGTGTTCGGGCCGCTGCGATTGGCAGGAGCCGGTCGTTTCGGATCGCGAGGACGTCCGAGAGTTGTGTTGCAAGCTTGAACTCGGCCGGGATGATTTTCAATATGTGCGAGACCGCGTCCAAGCCCAGCTCCTGGTAGACGTTTGCCCGCTGACTCTTAACTTTCCTACGGGTCCTCAGCCAGGGCCCACCCACTGGAACTGACCAAACCCTGACACTCACAGCAAAATACACGTACACAGGACGAGAAAACACAAACACACACACACACACACACACACATACACACACACACACACACTGCTGCGTCGGCGGCTAGGCAGAGTCACTGCGCTGGCGGATAGGGCGGTGGTAGGACATACGAAACGCGAATTACACCGCGATGCACGAGGAGGACAGAGGAGGCGCCCAGCGGCGGCGGGAGGGAGACGGAAGCATACACGCACACACACACACACACACAGACTTTTTACGTCGCAGCGCGGCAAAGCAGTCCGCACGCGCGCTTCGGCAAGCTGGGTAACGGCATCGCTAATTGTCCGGCGGCAAGAGCAAGAAGAAGGTGTGAGGGGGCAGCCGCGGGGCAGGGAAAGGGAGGGAAGGCGCTCACGCGGCGAGGTCCGATGCGGAGCGGCTGGGGCGGCCAGCCGGTGCTGTACCCCTGGCAACGGGCGCGGGGCGGCGCCGCGGCCACTCCCAGGGGCCGGGGCAGGGGCTGCAGTGCGCGAGGAGCAAGTAACGGCAGGAAAAGTGGAGCCAAGCCAACAGTGTCCCAGTACAGCGGGGCCGGGAGTGGCGGCGTCACAGCGGCACAATGCAGCAGGAAGGGCGCTGGGCGAGCTGGAGGGATGGGCAGTACTGCCAGCTGAAACCTCCGTAGGCAGGATGGGGGGACGGACCCCGCCGGAGACCGGCCAGTGAGGAAGCGGTGCAGCGGGTGTCGAGAGCGCAGTTGCGAGTTCACCCAGCAATGTTGGAGGCCTGGAAACTGGCACCAACACCAGCACAGGGGTTTGCCTCCACAGGGAGATGATGATCCTAGATTTCGGTGTTGGTGGTGATATTTCGGTCACCTTGGAAGCCAGAATATTACCACCATTACCGAGATCGGGATCGTCTTCCCTCGGTGGAGGCACACCGCCGATCTTGGTGTTGGTGTCACTCTCTAGGACTCCGACAGTGCCACGACGGCGGGACCAGGAAGACGGCGGTGGCCCGGAGCCGGCAGAAGAGGGAGGCGGCAGAGCGGCCACGGGGACCCGGGTGGCCGTCCAGTGAGCCGACGGCAAGGCCAGAGGAGGACCCTGGCCGAAGCCGGCGAGGGGACTGGAGGGCAGCGGAGGGGGCAGCCAAACTCGAGCCCCGGCCAGTGCACGCATCAAGCTCGGGGCGAGTTATCCCCCGCTCCAAGGAGGGCAGGGGCCCCAGGACACGCAGATAGATACACACGAACAAAAAGATGCCCCACATTTTCCCACACATATATATATATATATATATGTGTGTGTGTGTGTGTGTGTGTGTGTGTGTGTGTGTGTGTGTGTGTGTGTGTGTGTGTGTGTGTGTGTGTGTGTGTGTGTGTGTGTGTGTGTGTGTGTGTGTGTGTGTGTGTGTGTGTGTGTGTGTGTGTGTGTGTGTG